CATTTATAGCTAATGTAGAGACCTAAATGTGAAATCAGGGAAATAAAGTGAATTTGTGAGTCTTCCTCTGGGAGTTAAGGCTTATAACCTATTAAAAATATGATATTTAATCAGGTACAGATAAATACATATATATTGCAATGCTGATTATCCTGCTATGAGTAACATTTTTCATTTAGTGATTAAAATACAAACAAAATGAATTGCGAAAACCAGAGCAAAATGGCAATATGCATAAACCACTAACAATAACGGGGAAATTTTTTGATCCAAAACACGAGAGGGCCACTGCAGGAGGTTGGTGAATAGGATGCGACAGGAATGTCAGTAAAGGACAGGCACAAAAGAGACATCTTGTTGTATGGCACATCATTGGTGTCAGTCACTAATGATCTTCTTGGCATGTTCAGTACATAGCTCAGAATGTATCAACATTACTTCTTTTTTGTCTTGCTATTGGAAATCAGTTTAAATTTTCCATGATAGAAACCAAGGCTTGTGCAAAGGGTGGTTGCATGTCTTGAGGAAGGTTACATCTTTGACCTTATTTGGATGTGGCATTTGATAAATCTGGGACAATTAATCATGGAATAATCTATGAGATTATCCATCTGGGGCCTCTGTCTTTTTCAGCTTGGGTTTGTGCTTCAGTTGGTATTTTTATTTGCTGAGAAAGACTGCAGTAGTGCCAGGGATGAATGAGGAAACAATCCTGGAGGGAAATTAAAAAATTAAAAATATGGCATAAAGTAGGGGAACCTCTATAAAAGGACAAAACTGAGTGTACAGCACCAAATATATTGGCCAAATGCAGCAGTCTGCAGATAAAAAGCCATCAATCTGCTATAGCCCACCCAGAAACCTGAAATTCCCCCCCAAACTTTCAGGAACCTAATCCTCTAAGAGAAACAATTCACACCTATAACCAGAACCCCAAGCTCTCGTCAGTGCTTACATGGCTGTTTATGTTTGTGTGTTTGATATGTAATGATTTTATTTAAAATTGCCATGCTCCTAGTGCAGTTATCATCATCACTATTGCTTGCAGTTAGAAAATGCATCAATTTCTTCATTTAAACCATTAAAATACACCCAGCTAAAAATAAAAACTGGAATTAAAAATTGGAAATAGAAACTAACATGCAGGGAAATGCTAAAGTGAATGCAATCAGTTCCAGATTTAAAACAGCCTCCCCACATTCACACCCTCCCCCCCCCTTTCCACTACTGGGTGGTCATGGACTCACGACTGTTAATAGTGGTTTTCTTTAGAGTCATTCCAGACTTCTATTTTCACTCACTTAAAAATGGGAAGAAACAGAGGTATTGACTTAATTTTCTACATGTTCTGCACTAAGTTTCAAAATCTACCCCTAAGGAAACAGGCTTCTGAAATGGTGGTGGAGTGTTCCTAATCAGGGTAGCAGTGGGAGTCTGGAAAAGACTTGCAGTCAAGAGAACTTGAGCTGAAAAAAAGCCCCTATTATTCCTCAGGATGGAACTCACTAGGTTTATAGAGGGCAGTATATGACATACAGGCTGTGATGGGCAAAGGTTGGGCTCCTGGGCATTAGTGGGTGATGCGGCCCACTTACAGCTGAGTAATAGAGCAAATCTAGCAGTATTTAGTTACTAGCTCCCAGTATTGGCCCTGTAAAATTTCTGGAGCTTTACTCGGTACTTGGTAAAAGAATCATAGAGTCATAAAATAGTTAGGGCTGGAAAGGACCTTAAGATCATCTAGTTCCAAGTTTTACTTGGTAGTAACTTTACTTGGTACTGTGGTCTGACCCCACAGGAGCAGATGGACATTAGGTGTGCTTTTGGAACATGTCTTCCAGGTCACGGTAATCCAAAAGGAAGCCAGTGGGCATGCTGCAAAAGGGCTACACAATGTGAACATCAGCAGTGTAAATGGAAACAACTGAAAGATGTGCTTCAGCAGTACCCTCTTGATCCAAGATGGAGTGATAGGAGAGACACAAAGACTCTCTTCCCATCTTTGGTCAGTAATAAAACTAAACTACTTCAATGTAACAGCCACTGCGGATCTGCTATTTTGACGTCTACTCCCATGCCAGCCGTTATCTGCAGTGTGTTCACAATCAGGCCCCATGTGATACAAAATTGTGTATTTTATCCAATACCCAAAGAATACCAGGGTCTGGCATTTTGAGTAAAAGTAAAAACAAATCTGCATAGGAATATTCGGGTAATATTCCATGGGCTTGCGTAACATAACTAAATAATCAACTAACCTAGTAATTTAATTTTTTCTGTTCCCATTAAGTTATTTAATAAGCAGTTTAAATGCTATGTTATTTCTTCTCATTTTAACTTGCACATTTTTTACCTTTTCCTCTCTTGTTCCACAACTCTGGTGGCCATGTGGCCTGTTTCCCATCCCAGGCACAACTGTAACTTGGTCTGACCTCTCCTACCTAGAGGGGCAAGAGCTCAGCTTTTTGTCCCACCCATCCAGGTGTGTTGATTTGGCAAGTCACAACTTGAAGTTCTACATGTATGCAGTGCAAAGTTCAGGGTCTAAATACCCTGCCTTGCAGAGCATCAAAAGAAGCACTTAGCTGCAAGGCAGCAAGGAGATAATCCCCATCTCCTCTGAGGAAAAGACTGAAGGGTCAAAAGAAAATGTCCTGAACTCCCGGCTTGGCTGCAGGCAAATTGTTAGAGCCTACAGCACAATCCTTTCTGGATTCAGGGCTTCCCATATGCTGGATGTCAGCTTAGCTTTCCTAACACTAAATCGCATATTTTAATGAGCTTTAGCAAGCTTTCTCTGCAAATTATCTTTCTGACATTCTAGAATAAGTAGGGCAATAAATCACAATGTAATGCAGGTTTCATGTTGGGTCTGCTGGGATCTGTGAAGCTCTGGCAATGCAGACAGTTAGAATTAACCAAATTATCAGTTCGTTCACTAGCTTAATAGAAACCATTTTACAGGCAGAGCTGTAACTTGTTTTACTGTTGATCTGTGAAAGTCCTTGCATTTGTATAGCAATTTTTTATTACCTACAGCATAGTTCACCCTTCTGAACCTGTGAAGTTACTTGTAGAAGAAAGTATTATTACTCAGAAGTAATGATTAAAACTGGATTCAATATAGTTGCTGAAGACAACCACTATGATTTAGTTTTTAAATTGCGTATGCTTGAAAGAATGGTGTGCATAAGCTCCTGTGTAAAGGATTAAACATTTCTTTTATGCAAGTGCACCAGAAGGTAACATCTAGAGGACCATCTTCTATACATGTACTTGGATTTTTGATAGGCCCATCCCACACATGATTACAAGGGTAACAGTGCACACATGCAAACAAGTTCAGACTTGAGCACCTGGAGCTCTGGAGGCTGCTTGAAGATAAGGACCATACACCCAATGACCTTCAATCTCTATTTCACCCTTCACCAGAGAACATTCCACCTTTTTTGTGGAGGTAAACCACATTTAAATTTCACACTGACATAAATTCAGGCAGGCAACTCACCACTCCCCGTGTAGGACAAGCGAACTGCCAATTGCTGGGTCTAGGGGGATGAATCTGTGGAAATACCACCCTAGACTTAGCCAGCTTCTTGTGCGTTGTTTTTCGTTGGCATTTGCTGTTGGGAAGCAGGAAACTATGCCTGATGGACTCTCACCCACTCAGAGGAACTCTAACACAATTATATTAAGTACATAACAAGCACAAATCACTTAGAAGATACGCATTTAAATCCAAAGCTCTTTCACAAGCCATCTGAAAGTGCTTCACAGTCTCACACAACTTACATATTTCTTTGCTTTAAATTTTCAGCATCATTCTATTTAATGATTTCTATAGTTTCCTATGGCCCTTGATAATGTTTTAGCCTTCTATCTGTAAATCAAATATAACTCAATCAAAAAGAAAACAGTATTTAAATCTTCTTTCATAGGGGAAATAAAAATGTGCCATTTTGTTTTGAAATCTAATAAAAATGATAGTGCTTATCTTTTCCCGTTGGCTTAACGTGGCCAGGGTTTTATGTGCAGGATGGCCTTTGCTCTGAAGTCTGATGATGGGAATCATGTTTCTGTGTGTCTTTGACACAACACAAAATGAAGTGTATCTCTGATCTTATCTGAAACTATAAAGTGCTATTATGCTAAACAACAATATAATGAATGATTTAAAGAAAAAAATAAATCAGCAAAGGAAGCTTAACCAGTTCTTCTAGTTGGGCTGCTAGATACAATTAATATTCATCTCGAATTTATCCCTTTTCCTTTCTGAAATAGGTTAAAAACTGAACTAAATGGGTTCCAAAGTAACAGAAGCCTCATTTCACTTTTTTTTTTTTTTTAAGAAAATCATTTTAACATGTTTAAACATATGCTTAAAATGTGCCTTAAACACTTTTCTGGGAGGAGGTTTTTCTGATCACTGTCAACTATTTTTCTCAAAGTTCATTCACAAAGTTTCTCCATCTTATTATTCATAAATCACATAATCTTGTTCCTGCTATCAATAGACTAATGCCCCAGGCGCTGAAACACAGCAGTTACAACTGCGGCCTCAGTCCCATGCAGGCTGGCACATCCGCATAGACTAGTGGTCCCAGAAAGGCTGAAATGTTTCCTGGCACACATCTAGCCAAGGCCAGGATTTTATTGAAACGTTTTGGTTAAATCTGTTTTGATATCGTGAATAAGGAAGAGCATGCCTTGTTCACATCAGCAGCACCACCACACTTTACAGGCAGCTCTGTTGGGAAACTGCTTTATTGAAGCATGGACTGGCAATTTAAGAAATAATTTAATGCATAATAAATAGCCCAAAGAGCTGCATCGTTGTGAAAATTTTCCACAATGTGACCTAGTTACGAATTTCTGAAATACTGAAGTTCACATGTGTTTGGGATTTAAGGTCTGGCATTCAATGTTTTGGAAAATTAGGAGCTGCCAGGCTCTTCTTCTTCCACCTCCAGAGTGACTGATGGTGGTTTGTCCTCTTGCAGCTTTGGGTATGTGGTGTGGCCAATGCACAAGACATGCTGAGGAAGCAAAAACCAGCCTGAGGCTACAGAGTTTCCCTGTACTTGCACTTCCTGACCATTGAAGGCTGCTGCAATACCGTCAACAGTGTCATATTGTCTGGCAAAAGAAAATATTTTTTCTTCTATATTAAAATGGTATATTTTAAGTAAATATGTGCAAAAAAAATATAGAATGCTAAGTTTAAGGTTAAAATAAAAAAATGCTTTACAGATATACTCTAAGGACTGCTGGGCTGACATTTTAAATTATGTTTTAAATAGTCCTGCTCTCTCCACGTAATTTCATCATATGGAACTTTGGATTTAATAATTACTTCTCAATTTGCTCGTAACTGTTTCATAGCTATTCAATCTTTTGGTAACCCCATTCTTAACTTAGCTCTTTTAGAGCTGCTTTTCCTTTTGCTGATTATTTTAATTACGCAGAAGTCCAATCTTCTCTCCACCTTTAGTCTGACAAAATAAAGAAGCCAATCTTTTTTACCTTGATACATACATCAGGTTTCTCTGCTCCCTTGGAGAGTAACTATTTTCTAAATCTCTACTAGTCTGAATTAATCTTTTCTGAAAATGAATCACAAGTATCGCAGGTTTTTTCACTAGTATCTTACCAAGGGACTTGTACAACAGTATTAATCGTTTCTACAACCTCTTGAAAAAAAAACCCATAAAGTGGTCTTAGAATCATTGTGATTTATGAAATTATTAAATTTCTGGCTTTCTATGGCTGCAGCACCTTGGTAGATGATAATCTTGCTGTGACACACTTGTATATCCAGACTGCTCCATCTGCCCTTGTCATTTATAGCCACTGCACACTTACCCCTCAGTAACAATGATTACTGGTAATCTGTACCAGCTTGGACTTGTACTTTGTACTTTCTTCTCCCATTTCTCCTGCCCCATTCATGCAGTACTCCAGTTCTCCTTGTTATCCCAATCTTCCTTTCTATTGCAGTGCCTCTTTGTCTTATAAGCAGATTTCTCTAATGTGCTTCCAAATCATTAGTGAAATACTAAATAAAACCAACACCAAGACCAATCCTTGTGTGACTGCTCTATAAGCTTCCTTCCAGCCCAAACCTTCCATTTTCAGCAGCCCCCAGAGCTGATCTCCCTGTGCCTCACTGACCTCACAAACACTAGAAATCTCTCCATCTTCTCCAGTTTAATTAATAATTGCCTATGTGGCACTATATAAATACTTAACTGACCTCTAAATACTTCTTTTTGTTTCTCTAGAGAATTTTTTATCTTATCTAACACAGCGTTTGAGTTAAGCAACCACAATACACCTTTTGTAAAGACAGAAGTGTATTTGTCCCATCTACAATTTACTTCCATCTGTGCATTATACTGCCTGTGCTGATGAGGATCAAAGACTCTTTTTTTTTTTACCACTCTAATCTATTTTTGTTCAGAAAACTCTGTTATTACTATTAGTACCAAAGGTACCAATAGTATCATCTGTCCCTTCAGCGTGTCTCGGTTTAGACCTCTAAGTGCCAAAAAGGAAAGTTGTTTCCTGGCTCCAATGGCCTATCTTGTCTTCCTGCCTGAGCATATTTCCAGCAAAGGACTTTTGCTGACAGTATGAGGCCTGAAGTCTGGAGCACAAACAGAAGAGTTCCTGCTGTGTGATACTGGTGAGGTTTGTTATATTTTATGGACCAGTGAGAGCCACATTTTCTCTTACATGCTACCTTGGGCAATACATGATGCCAAGTGCAGGAGGAACAGTCTCTCTTGAACAGGTTTGCCATGAATGGAAAGTGAATCATAGAAGTGAAGTTCCTGCCTCCTTCAAATGACAGCACTCACTCCCTTGATCTGAGGCTAACGCTGAAGTTCATGCCCATTTGCTTCAGAAGCAGCATCTGAGAGTTGTAGCATTTGTTTTAAGGCCCAAAGTCTAGGTGTCTTTAACAGATTAAGGAAGGAAAGATCTTTTCTTGCCCTTCCTCATAAAACTCCACCCAAAGAGAAAAGAAAGAAGGTTACTTCACAATCTAAATGCTGTAATTCAACAAAATAGTCCTTAATAGAAAATAAGGCTCTGTGAGGGTAAAAGTAAGTCAGTTGTGTTTGCTTGCTCTGAAGTCTACCAGAACACGTGTTCAGTAATATATTCTGAGCTAGATATGCTCACCTGTAGAACTGTCAGGAATAATTACTACTTGGGTGCCTGAACTGCCATTATTAAAATAATGGTGTGCTTAGTCATTAAAAAGCAAAATTAATCCAATTGCATTTCAAGTTCTAAACTGGCAAATTTGCAGAAAGATCTCAGACTGACTTGAGAAGATTACTGAATATAAGTAATGCAAGTCCCAAACTGATGAAAATCCAGGGCCGAAATACCCCGGTGCACCTACAATAAAAGGGCAAAAGCCAAAAGTCTTGTGGCACAGGAAAGCCAGGTGAGTTCAAGGTCAAGGTCACTGCTGCCACTAAAATGAAGTATGGCTTTGAGGACTGATCACATAATATTCGTAGTCAGACTGTGCTCAGCATTATAAAAGGTAAAAACAAAATAAAACACTCCCTAGAGAATACACCAGATTAGGCAGTTTTATGAAGTATTGTCTCACATTAGAAAGTTGCCCACATTCAAATAGTAACAGAATAGTTAGTTAGACATGAAGGTGATGATTGATAAGTATTTGAGTACCAGGTGGTTTGTTCTGAACTTTGAACTGATATGGGGAGGCAGAGAATAGCATTTCTCTCACATGTTGAACCCTTTTCAGCCATGCATTCACCCATGTTTCCAGAGAAAATCATATGAACCCTGCACTTCCTAAGACTAAATCTTCCTTCAGTGGACTACTTTTACTAAGACCAAATGCACCCCAATCCCCACACTGCGATGCAGATAGTGAGTGAACTCAGTATGAAATACCAACCGTTACAACAGGTAGACATCCATATATGCATTAATATCTTCTATTTCGGAGTGGAATTAGCATGGCTAAGCGTAAGCAGTCAATTATTCAAATATTCCATCTGTGAAAGTTAAGTTCAGATTTAGCAAGTAGATCAGGTAAGGCAGTAGCTTCACTTTGAAACAACAAAAGCTCCTAAAGCTGGTAGCTTAAAAATTGCTATAAAGGCTTTATTTGCCTAACTGTAAATTCATACATTTTTACAATGTATTAATCAGTCTGCATAATCCTGTCTCCAACCCCAGTGACAGAGTAATTGATGTAGATATATCTAGAAGGATTTTAGCCTCACTGGCAGAAGCCTTCCCATCTGCAGTAATATAATGAGCAATAAGAAGGAGTATGAACATGAGTCTTTGAGGTCAGGCTAGTGGAGAAAAAAAAGGTTAGTTTGTACAAAATCTAGTCTGCATGCATGCAGTCATTGTTTATAAATTTACAAAGCGTTTTAAAGCCTTCACCTTAGATCCTCAGTTTATGAAGAACTACTAATTGGCTTTTTGAACAAAGATCTTCTTTTCCATGTTTTTATACAGCAATGCAAATATAGTGCTAGGATTAAGTATCAGATCAACAAAAATGTGTTAAAAATTGAAAATGTAATTCAGAATAAAAAGTCAGAGGGAATTTCAATCCACCACAAAACATTGTGTGCAGAGAAAGGAGCTAATCTGAATAGGCAAATTAGTCCCTGCAGTTATTTGTTCAGGACCATTAAATTAATGCATTTAATGGTTGCCAATTACTAGGTATGTGTGCTGCTCTGTGCCAATGATAAGACACTGCTGGGCATGCATTTTAAAACCATAATCAGGATCAAAACTTGGGATTCTTTTCTCTTTATTTCTCTTTTCTTTTAAACACACTTACATGTGCAACTTCTTTACTTTCAAGAATACCAAACTTACATTGACAAGTGCTAATAGCTGTACTCTTTGCTATTAAAACTCCTTTTGTTGGGAAGCAAATTTGAAGATACATGTAAGCAAAAGATACAGAAGCATGTAAATTGTAGAGGAATTACTACTGTATCACTCTTTATTTAACACAAAGGCGTCTTGATGTAAGTGAAAGCAGAAAATTGACACAATCAAGATTGTGACTCCATTACAAAAACTGGACATGACTCATTGGTAAGGACGAAATACATTTCTTTTAAACAAGCTCTTTAATTTTGTACTAGAATATAGAGAGCTTTGGAGGTTATGTGGTATGTTTACTGCTGTGTATATATATCTATACATGCCAGTGTCCACAGTGTGAGCTATAAAACTAAGAGAATGTAATACTTATTTTTTTTATGACTGCTATTTAAAATTCAGTTTTTACAGATTGTGTTTGATTATTCAGAAGGGTGACAGCAAATCCACTACGTGACTTGATGGAACTAAGTAGGCAAAACTGAGCCCTTATCAATGACAGATCATTCTCATAAAACAGACAAAGAAAAAAACATTTATACTTGACAAATCACTTGTGTTCTACCTTAGATTAGAAACCTAGAGAGCAAACATATGTTTTAAAAGATTCTAAATCCCTAGAAAAGAAATTAATCAAACGGATTCTCTGAAAGACATTTTCATTTTCTTTCTAAGTAGCACAAACTAAGTAACAACAAAGCCACGCACACGAAAATTAAATGTAAATTCAACAGCTAGGACAGTTTACAAATCACTTCTGTAGCCCTGAAGCAGGATAAAAGGAAATAAGTATACTTCATGGTTGGTAACCTATTAACTGACACCAACTGTTGCAGCTGTGAATAAAACAAATGCGCGATAAGATTAGATATGTTGATTGCACCTGGCCATCTGTAAATTGCTGCTTACCATAAGAATCACATGCTTCCTACTAGTCACTGTGATAAATGCAGAGTAACTGTTGTTGGTTGTTTTTTTTTTTCTTCTTTTGGTAAATAATAGAGGAAATAATAAAGCAAAACTTGTAGGTAGCAGATCTGTTCTTTCAGGTTTTGCAGAGTTTGCCCCAGTGTTTGCCAACTTTTAAAGGGAGAAGGAGTAAGTCAAATAAATGAGACTGTATCTCACCAGTGTGGACAGAACAAGTCATCTAAATGTGTTTGTTTTATACAGAGAGACTGCAAAGGCCTTGCAAGTCTTTCTATGTTTTTGAACAAAAATACGATAGAAATATAAGTTAACATAACAACAGCTACAGCAGTCAATTTTTACCCCTTGAGGGAGTCACCAGCAGCTCCTTACTAACAG